CATCGACACAATGCTGAAGATGGGTGCTGCCATGGATCCAGCTGCTCTTAAGCCGGGTGTTCTGGCCCACAGCCAGGCGATTGCCAACATGGATTCCAAAGGCGTGGCGACGCTGGCCGATTACACCGCCATCAACTGCCACCATGCGAATACCTCCTGGACTACCAGTCCTCGGTGGTGGCGGAGCCCACTTTTCGGCGACCAAATTCGAAGGTCGTACCGGATGCAATGGGTTGTGGGAGCTCTTTGCATCTCCTTGTGGTTCGGCTATCTCCTTTCAGTTCGATGCAGGCGACTTTGCCTGCATGGGCGCGCTGATGCTTTGCCGGGGCAAAGCGCTAAGCATCTGAAGCGCCTCTTCACCTTTCGGAGAATGAGGCAGAGAAGGAGGAAGAAAAGGCCCAAGCCCAAAGTTGGGCGCAAGCTTGTTGCCATTTGTGCCTTGCCGGTAGGCGGGCAACGAGTACCTGGGCGGCAACGCAGGCGGTGGATGGGCTACACCTGTGGCCCTCGAGTTGGTGCACATGGCTTGTTTGTCTATGTGCCGGGCAAGCTGGCTGATTGGGGCGCGGCTGGTCATGGACGAGCTCGGCGTGTTCGCGGACCTCCAGGTGCAGCTGCTGGTGTCCTTCCATGGGACATGGTGGATACTCCTTGTGGGCCTGTGCCTTGGGCTCAGTTCTGTCGAGGTGGTGGCCGAGATGCTGACAATGCTGTGCTGGAAGGTCTTCAAGAGTTCCTGGGCCGTTTTCGGCACGTGCCTGTTCAGGGAGACAGTCAAGCAGAGGCCAAGGGCTCTGGCAAAGACAAAGGCAAGCGCGGCAAGGGCGAAGGTGGCAAACCTGCTTTCTCCTCTTCGTCTACTACCCCTTTGGAGGCCAATGCTGGCAATAAGGGCAAAGGGCAAGGTGGTTCCATCAGAAATGAGGGTGAACTCCTGGCCGAGTTGGAGTTGGAGAAGTTGGTGGCTCGGGCCAAGCAGAACCCCAGCACCTTACTTGAAGACCTTCAGGGTCTGGCTCGACGGGCATCGGCTGGCTATGGTTCTGGGCGAGCTGCACGTCTCCATAGGGCTACGCTGGCCAAGCAAGCTGCAGAAGGCCATGGGACAGTGGACAAGCAACCTGTCAAGCATGTGGAGCCGGAATTCTGTCGGCCTGTGGGCGGAGATGAGGATGGCAATGCTCCTTGGACTGTGGTTGCTAAGCGTCGTGTGCAGGACAATGAGCAGCTTCCGGTTCAAAACTGGATAGTGGATCCCTTGGCTGGTGGCGTGGTTTCCTCTGCTCTAGCCGTCAAGCGGATTTCTGATGGCCTGCCTCTGCAAGCCACTTTGGTGGTGGCTCATACCCAGTCCGAGGTGGACAAGCTGATCTCCTTGGCCCGAGCCCATGGCATCACTGACAAGGTTGCGGTGGTATGCAGGTTCACTCCGGATGGCAAGGCGGGAACCATGCAATTGCCATCAGTTGGTCCGTGATGCTGGAGGCCCCACGTTGCAGCAGAAGTTGGTCCTGAAGCCTGCGTCTTTCAAAGTGCCAGACAGGAGCTTGGAGACCATCCGGCTTCAGATCCCCAGGCTTTCCTTGATGATGCTACTTGGGCGGTTGCTTGCAAGCAGCCTAGTGACTTTGCCAAACGTGCCCTGGGACCTTTGCACTCTTTTGGAGTTTGGCAACAAGTTCAGGCAGGTGCTCGTGACAAACGGGAGATTGTGCTTGAGTGCTGTGCTCGAGTCCCTGCGGAAGGCAAGGCGGCAGTCTTGGGTCGCTCGGGCAGCTTGGGAGTTTTTGCGGCTGACTTGGCCAATGCCGGCCCCAAACCTCATTTGGAGTGGATCTCTTGTGGCGAGACTGTGGGTCCGGCCTACTTGCGCTTGGCAACAAAGCTGCTGAAAGGAAGAGCTCTCTTGCCTTTCGACGTGGCGGAGGGGCTGCTCTTGGAGTTCGTCTACTTGGCGATGCTGCTCCAGACCGAGTCTGTGCTTGGCGTGCCCGACATGTACCCCGAAGCTGGACTCCTGATGAGGTGGCAGCTGCGCTTCAGGATGTGGGCTTCCTTGAGTATGACCTGATTTCACCAGGCCGTGGCCAGCTTCCTTGGCTTTTCAGGGCTAAACTCAAGGATGATGCAGGTCAACCTTCCTTGGCTATCCAGTTTGGGAAGATCACTGTTGACATTGAGCGGGCGGCTGCGAAACGCAAACTTGTTGATGTGGA